AACCTCACTAAATGCGGAATAACATATCAAAGCCCAAATGTGTCAATGGACAATATTTTTTGCGTGCTGATTCTTTAAGTTGTCATGAGGATGGGAGTGTTCATTTAAATAAAAAAATAAAAAAAACATTAGGCTCTATAAACACTTAATTCCACTGAACTCTGTGTCTCTGTGGAGTCTGATCTTGCCTTTTTTTCTGCACTGCTTAATGGTTTACTCACCATTTAGTAGAGATGCTCGATCCCTAGCAGCCTGCAGTCTGACCTCCAATTATGATATGGCAGCATCAGAACTATGCTTCTTCCTCGTGCTATACCGGTTCATAGCAGGGACTGGGACAATGATTGGGTGAGAACATTCAGCCAATGCTAATTCTGCCCGCAGCCCGCTACCCCTGGTATGAAGGCTTTTCACAAATTCCTAATCAAATTGTGTTCTAGGTTTTGAAAGAGCCATTCTAAGACATTCAGATTCTTAGTTTTAAACCACTTCACTGTTACTTTCAGGGATATTCAATAAAGTGAGAATTGAAAGAGAATTTTAAATTTAAGTTCAAAACGGAAAGAAACAAATTACCAGATTTTACTAATTACATGACGTAGAGGCGAATATTATGCTTATCTCTTTCTTTAATATACCTCAGCAGCAAAGAAAAAGGTATAAGACATTAAAAGAACAAAACTAGAATAGGTACTCAAAGGGTTAACATAATCTGCTATCCTTAACCAATAGGAACAGTCCATATACCCATAACCACTCATGTGACCTCTCTTCTCCCTCTTTCTTTGATCCTGCCGAAGCTGAAAATTCAGAAACTTGAGTAGACAACTGGAACCATAACCGGTGCGTCGATTTCTTCTCCATAACAAAACAATGTACTTTAACCAATCGTACTGAGATGATAACCGATCATCCATTGCGTCGACTGTAGTTCGTCAAGCTGAAACGGGAGAGAAAAGAAAATGGTAACGTTTGGTCTAGAGACTGTGTGTTACATACAAAGTGGTTATTTCTTATTATACTTGAAAACCTCTACAGACTACCTTACTTGCTGTAGAATTTACTGTGTCATATGTCTCTATCATACTTATTCCCCTAAACTCTATACCAAGCCCACAATATTTATCCTATCAATACAACTTACTGGGTGGGAATTCGACTCTTTTCCCTTATCTGGTAACAACTTCGCGGTACTTACCATGTCAACTTCACGATCCTTACCGGGTGGGCTAATATTCGCCTCCTTGTCCTTTATAAAATCATGACTTTACGTCATGTAATTAGTCAAATCTGGTAATTTTATTAAAGGACACGGAGGCTCATATTATGCTAGTTCAAAGCTGAGCAATGACTGACGATGTTACGTGTTCTGTAGGGCGAAAGTAGTATTCTTTGAAAGTGGACTCACGTGACCAGTCCGCTGTACGCAAAAGGTCTTCCAGTCTGCATCCCAAATTAAATGCTTTAGTCGCTATAGCTCCCCTAGTGGAGTGTGCTCCGTACATGGAGGTATCAATATTTGCGGAGGTCATTACCCATTTCACCCATCGGGCTATAGTAACCGACGATACTGGTTGGTGTGGTGTGTTAATGGCCAGGAATAGTTCATGCCTCCTAGGGTCTCGAAATGCCTGTGTCCGTTTCTCATACTCTTTGAGACAAGATATTGGACATAGGTTTATATTGTGAGGAAAAGCTGGATAGGATACTGTAGAAATTGTTGTTTTTGTACGTCTGGTAATGTTAAACGTCACTCCCGATGGAGTGAACGAGCGTGCATCCATGTCCAACGCTCGCACATCAGAGACTCTTTTGCATGATATCAAGCAGAAGAGCATTGCCAGTTTCGCTGATAGTTGCTTAAGTGTAAGGTTGGTGTTCTGTGGCCATTGTTCCAAAAAATGTAAGACTAAATTTACGTCCCACGTTGATGCATATCTGGGTTGTGGGGGTCTTGCAAAGCTAACTCCCCGTAAGAGTCTGCACACCATTAAGTGTCTCCCTATTGGTGCACCTTCTAAGCCCTTATGTCCAGCTGATATCGCTGACCTATAGCCATTGATCGTATAAATATGTCAGGAAACGCAGTAAGCAGTTCAAAGGAGCACATACGGGATCCACTTGTTGTTCCATGCACCAACCATCCATGCCCGCCTGTAGGATCTCCGAGTTCCTGGGGCCCAGGCTCCCTCCAGTAGTTCCAGCGTCTTCTGTGGAACCTCTGGTACGACCCAGGGTCCCCTGAAAGGAGCCACGCTAGCAGCCTGAGTTGTCCTTGCATCAGTAATGGGTGTGAGTTCCCTTCGGGATCCGCCAAAAGGTGTGGGTCCGCGGGAAGTAGTCTGTGAAGCTCTATAGACATTTCCATGAGGGAAGGGAACCATGGCTGCGTTGTCCAGAATGGTGTTATCAGGACCAGAGTCGTCCGCGAGCGATCGAGATGTACCAACGTTTGTACAGTCTCCTTCTCGGCCATGACTGGAGGAACGCATCCGTAGCCACTGCTTCCGGGTTTGGTCTCCAGCTGAAGAATTCTGGTGGGTGCGTATTCAAACGAGACGCAAACAGATCCATGTACATCGGGCCCCACAGCGTTTGCAATCGTAGGAATACTTCGCGATTCAGTCGCCAATCGCTGGTGTCCCACAGGTATCTGGAATTCCAATCCGCCACAGTATTCGAGAGACCCGGGATGTATTCGGCTCGTACTGAGATGTTGCGGTCCAGGCAAAACTGCCAGAATTCCGTGGCTAAGTCTGCTAAAATTTTGGACCTGGTGCCGCCGAGGTGGTTGATGTATTGCACTGCTGATATGTTTTCCATCCTTAAGATGATGGAGCAATGCGTCTTGGCACCTAAGAGGCTCCTCAGTGCGAATGATCCCGCCATAAGTTCCAGGCTGTTAATATGCAGCGCTCTTTCCGATTGGGACCATCTTCCGCCTGTGGAAATACGACCACAACGCGCTTCCCAGCCCTGCGTGCTGGCATCGGATTCTATTATGCAATCCGGGGTGGTGCCGAAGATGCTCTGCCGTCCCACGCCTCCATGTGTTGCAGCCACCACTTGAGTTCCTCCTTGGCCGTGTGATCGAGTTGCACGGAGTCTGAATAAGATTGACCTGATTGTAGCTGAGGGGCTTTCAATCTGTAGTGCAGAGGTCCCGGGAAGATCACCTGAATGGACGCTGAGAGGAGTCCAATTATCCTGGCTAGTTGTTTCACTGTGAGCGTTGGGCGAGTTAACATTCTGCGGATCTCCTTTTTGATGTTTTTGACCTTCTCCCGCGGTAATTTCAGGGTTCCCTGGACCGCCTCTATAGTGAACCCTAGGAATTCCATGGACTGCGAGGGAGTCAGCACCGACTTCTCCCAGTTGATTAGAAATCCTAGGTTGCGCAAAAGCTGTATTGCCCAAGATAGGTGTTGTTGAAGTAGGAGTACATCCTGTGCCATGATCAGTATATCATCCAAATATATGATCATGCACACTCCTCTGCTGCGTAGCAGCGCCAACACCGGTTTTAACAGTTTCGTAAAGCACCACGGAGCTGAAGACAGGCCGAAAGGGAGGCACCTGAACCTCCACATCTGCGCATTCCATTGGAACTCCTCCTCCTCGATGGGGATGGCGCGATAGGCATCTTGCAGATCCAGTTTGACCATCTAGTCTCCTAGCCTGAGGAGGTCTAGCAGGCAATGGATCCCCTCCATCTTCAAGTGGCGATACCGTACGTACGCATTGAGTGGGCGCAGGTTTATCACCGGTCTTACTCCTCCGCCCTTTTTGGGGATCAGAAACAGGTTGCTCAGGAAACCTGGAGAGTGATATGCGACTTGATAAATCGCGAGTTCCCTGTCCTGTGGGGTAAACACCATTGGCCGAGGGACTGATGTTTGGATTGGGGTTTGAACAAATTCTATTTTGTACCCTACAACTGTGCTGAGAATCCAAGCACCGGATGTGAGTCTGTTCCATGCCCCGATAAAATGGGATAGTCTGCCCCCCACATACGAAGTACAAGAAGGGGAAACAGGAAAGGTACTCACCATAAGGCCGTCGGCCGTACGTAGCGCCCCTGCGTCCTCTGGGCTGCCATGACCTGCCCCTGACTGGAAAGAAGGGTGAGGGGTTTCTGGTCTCCGTCTGTGGGAATCTGAGTGTAGAGGTAGCCCCGGTACGAGCCCCTTGATGAACGGTTGGACAGACGGCCCCGTTGTCTGCCAGCCCCCCCAAAAACCTTTGGGGCGAACACATGCTTCAAGTTTGTTTGCGCCTTGTCCAGGGCTGTAAATGTATTCACATAATTGCCTAACTCTTTGACAAAATTGTCTCCGAAAAGGAGCCCTTTCGCCTGCGGACCAGGCTCAGATATGGCCATGTTGACCAGTTTAGGGTCAATTTTCATGAGGACCGCCTTGCGCCTCTCTGTACAAAGCGCAGCATTGGAATTGCCAATAAGACAAATAGAGCATTGTGCCCACTCTCGGATAGCCAAGAGGTCCACTGGCGTGCCACTTGAAAGCGCAGCTTCGACCATGTCGAAAATCTTTGCGCTGGGGCCCAAAGAATCAAGCACTTTATCTTGGCAGTGGCGCAGAGAATAATCTAGCCCTTTCTTGGCATTCCAGCCCGATTTTCCCAAAAATTGGGCAATTTTTGGGTCCAGTTCTGGTGTGGCACATGCCATATCTGGGACTGTCAGGCGTGGGCATTCTGCCCTCAACTTATTCCTGGTGGCCTTGTCCAGGGGTTTCCTAATTCTGGCCGCTATATATTTGGCCACGTGGTCAGCTGGGAACCATTCTGTCGACCTAGGGTGTTGAAGGTCGTCTGGATTAAATAGGGGTTCCCCTTGCAAATCTAGAATAACTGAATCATCCGCTTTTTCTTGGCCCCTGGTGGCTGGTTTGCCAGTTAAGCTGCGCTCCGGAGAAGAGTTCTCCGATTTCAGTGAGCCCATCTCCTCAGACTCACTCAATACCTCCTCTTGGTCCGAATCAGAGTCGGATATTTCTCTCCGGGTTTTTGCCCATTTCCATGTCCTCACCATTTTTTGCCCAGCGGGAGGCTCGCTTACGTGGTGGCCCCACATCCTCATCAGTGACAGGACACAACCTGTCCGTCAATGTTGTTTTGGAGGTTTGCTTGCCCATATGATGGGTCTTTTCAGTAGTCTTGTGTCCGCTGAAGGGAGCAGGCTTGTCGTCTTGGGCCTTGGAGCAGAGGTCCTTGGGGTTGTGGCCAGACGCCATGATGGCGTTGCTGATGGATTGGGTCAGGTTATCTGACATCGCCCCCAAGGCTTGTGTGACCGATTTTGTCATGGTCGCGTCTAGCAGGGAATGGAACTCCTCCGAGTTCAATTGCTCCACAGACGTCACCTCTTCTCCTTGAGAAGAGATTGGATGTTGAGCCTGGGACCCACGGTGTGTGGTGCCCTTATTGCCTGCAGCCAAAGTGACAAGCTCCTGTTCTTTGGGGTTCTGCATTTTTAAATAGCAATCTGCTCCAATATATGGAACTAACCTAATTGGCACTAGTAATACTGGCCCCTTTAAGGAACAATCTTTAAGTGGATGTATACTGTGCTTGATAGCACACAAAATACTGTCACTTTAATAATAAGTGAGACTGTGTACAATAAACTATCACTTGCAAGTAGTTTAATCTGCTGTTAAAATGGGGTGACAGGGCAAGGCACAAACAAGCTGTCAGCTTACCTTGTGTTCCCTCCGGAATGGCTGCAAGGGGACACTGGCAGGCTGACAGCTACAGCCCAATACCCAATCCGGACGCTCCCGCCCCTCAGGGGGCTGGGGGCGCCGGGACAAAAGTGCGGCAAAACTTCAGAGAAGCCGGCAGTTAAAATGGCCGCCGCATTATGCGGCCGCGAATGCGCATGCGCGTGCAATCTCTGGCTAGAAAATGTCCGCGCCGGCAGCGGCCGCCGTGGAGATCAGCCGGTGAAAACCCGACGCAAATGTGGAGCGCAGGTAATAAACTACACAACGGGGTGGGGGAGGGAGTATGTCTCCCGAACGGGGACTCAAGAAGACAAGCAGAGATATGAATCTAGAGATACAAGCCCCAAGCAAATACCCCTATTTCCACTCCTATAGCTACATAGAGAGACCTCTATAGCTCCCCCAAAGTTACAGTCAAATACATTTATACAAAGAATAAATATAAAGAATAAATCTAAAGACAATATGAAATGACAAGTACATAAAACACTATCTCAAATCTAAATATCCAAACAGAATGAACACAATTTAAGAGAGCTAAAAATTAGGTGATACTTAGCTTCGGCAGGATCAAAGAAAGAGGGAGAAGAGAGGTCACATGAGTGGTTATGGGTATATGGACTGTTCCTATTGGTTAAGGATAGCAGATTATGTTAACCCTTTGAGTACCTATTCTAGTTTTGTTCTTTTAATGTCTTATACCTTTTTCTTTGCTGCTGAGGTATATTAAAGAAAGAGATAAGCATAATATGAGCCTCCGTGTTCTTTAATAAAATCCATAAGTCAGCAATGTTTTCCTTTCAGTTACACTGGCCTTAAATTTGAAAGTGAATGACCCTGTTAATTAGTACATTTCTGGTCATTACCCCAGTGAAAGATGAGGCCTCACCCCAGTACATGGTGTATTGCAGAATCAAACATGTTTTCATGTAGAATTTCCTGATATCAGGCTCAATGCAGCCTAGAAAGCTTTCCCAATCACTGCCAATATAAAGCATCGCCCGGCATGATGAGAATCAGCGTGAGCATGTTCACGGTGTTCTCAGAGTGACGAGCGGTGTTTTGTGCCTCACATGCAGGGTTACCCATTTAAGTGTGAATTGTAAGTCTATATATGCTAAAACAAAATATTACAGATATATGGTAATACATTAACCCCTTAAGGACACATGACGGAAATATTCCATCATGATTCCCTTTTTTTAAAGAAGTTGCGTCCTTAAGGAGTTAAATGCAATACAGATTTTATTATTATTTATAAAGCTCCAAGAAATTTAGCAGCGCTGTACAATGGGTGGACTAACAGACACGTAATTGTAACCAGACGATTTGGACGCACAGGAACAGACCCTGCTCAATGTGCTTAGATGCTAGAGGGAGTGGGGTATAGTGACACAAAAGGTAAGGGTAGGGTAGAAAAGTAGATTGTTAGGATAGTATTCACTGAGGGCTTAGTGTTTTGTTTTAAAGACAGTTGCAGGAGAGAAATAGAGCCTAACAATTGTATCTCAGTACAGATATTATTATTATTATTTTATTATTGATATAGCGCCAGCGAATTCCGTAGCGCTGTACAATGGGTAGATATGAAATATTATATAGAAAATATATATCATAATGCCACACAGTAAGATCCATTGGGTGCAGGAAGAAAGAGGTTCTGTATAGTAATTTTTGAAGCTGTATATAGGATATACATAATAGAAATATAATATATTCATTCATTATTAGTTTTGAAAGCTAGTTTTGTTTTTTTATACATTGTTTACAATTATTTTTCTAATTGGGTTTTTGTTTTTGTCACGTTAGTTATGGTGCTTTGAGTGTTCCTTTACTAGATGTGGTGATACATATGTTTATAATATAGCTGAGATACTATGTTGTTTGTAGCAGTGAGAAACTTGTGTAACAAAGTAGCGTGATGTAACATACTGCTTGGCTTGAATCCAGAGAACGTGACTCATGAATTAGTAATTGTTATATAAAAATGTTGTATAAGCCAGTGCTTTCACTTAAAGGGATACTATAGTGCCACACAAAATGGAGAAATAAAGTAAACATAGTGCAGGTCAGGAGTCTGGATACAAGTCAAGGGCTCATGAGCTGCACCACTGTAACCACCTAATAGGGAGCTCCAATGAGGGGGTAACCCTCCAAAATATGTAGGTAATAGGAGTAGGTGATGTGTAGAGTCCCACAAGGGGAAACCAACATCAGGAGAGCTCCACTGTATAAGAAATGAGGAAGGGAGGCCCTACCTTTAATCAATCTAAGGATAAAAAGGGATAGGCAAACAAAAAGTATAACTTGAAAAAAGGGAGATCTACTAAACGGTGCCCAGGGGAAACCAACATCAGGAGAGCTCCACTGTATAAGAAATGAGGAAGGGAGGCCCTACCTTTAATCAATCTAAGGATAAAAAGGGATATGCAAACAAAAAGTATAACTTGAAAAAAGGGAGATCTACTAAACGGTGCCCAGGGGAAACCAACATCAGGAGAGCTCCACTGTATAAGAAATGAGGAAGGGAGGCCCTACCTTTAATCAATCTAAGGATAAAAAAGGATAGGCAAACAAAAAGTATAACTTGAAAAAAAGGGAGATCTACTAAACGGTGCCCAGGGAGAAACTTGTGTAACAAAGTAGTGTGATGTAACATACTGCTTGGCTTGAATCCAGAGAAGGTGAATCATGAATTAGTAATTGTTATATAAAAATGTTGTATAAGCCAGTGCTTTCACTTAAAGGGATACTATAGTGCCACACAAAATGGAGAAATAAAGTAAACAGAGTGCAGGTCAGGAGTCTGGATACTAGTCTGGAGTACTAGCTAGCATCTAAGTTCCAGTACCCCTAGTGTCCGACTGACAGGAAGGTAGTGTAAACGAGGTTAGGGAGAGATAAGAGGCACAGGGTCCCCAGAGAACAAGGGATCGGGTAATCAGGTCTAAATGCAGATGAAAAGCCTCACACACAAAATAAATAATTAAATAAATCTCTCAATTCACCCTAAAAGTTACCTCGACACCGTGGTCTAACCACTAGTGTCTACCTGAACCAACTCTCCCTACTAGAGTTATAAATAAATAAATACCTAAAAATCAATAACTATAGTGGTAACAAAAATAAAAAAGTGCTACCAAGTGCAGGGATTAAAGAAAAAGAAAACGCTCGACGCCCGTTTCAGCGTGCTCAAAACGCCGTTGTCAGGAGCCTTTTTCTCAAGTTATACTTTTTGTTTGCATATCCCTTTTTATCCTTAGATTGATTAAAGGTAGGCCCTCCCTTCCTCATTTCTTATACAGTGGAGCTCTCCTGATGGTTTCCCATAATGCAGGTATACATAGCTGTATTCCTGGCACTATAGCTCCCTCTGCCTCCCCCATCCCCTGTGCACCCCACCCCCTCTCTGGTAAATAAATAATTATTTACCTGATCGAGCCGTCACTAATGCACATGTGTGGCAAATGCCATGCGCGCATTAGACCTCCCCATGGGGAAGCATTGAATCAATGCCTTCCTATAGGGAAAAATCTGACGCTGGAAATCCTCATGCAGAGTGTGAGGATTTTCACCATCAGATACCGAACCAAAGGTCTGTTTCAAACCAGGAAGGTAGACAGACACTAGAGACTGACTTAGTACTGCAATGTAAACATTGCAATTTCTCTGGAACTAAGTGAAAAAGGGAAACTGTACCCAGACCACTTCAATGAGCACTTCATAGCCTTTCCCCTTCAAATCAATCAACAGGTAAACAAAACTAAACACAAGTAGCTCATTTTAAAGCTGAATGGAAGGACAATGCCAGAGGACTACAGACACTTTAGCCACTCCAATGAGAAGAAGCAGTTGCAGTGCCGGCAGTGCCCTTTAAGTCATGTTGAATTCACTTTGAGTTACCAATAACTCTCTCTTTAGTAAATACCCTGTTGGTGTTTTTAACTCTGTCATATACAAGTAAACTACCAGATCCCAAGCAGGGGAAGCTTGAAAAAGTCTTGAAACAGATAAATAAAAAAAATACAATCCTCAGTAGAACAAAACTGGGATCATTAGGGAAAATAGGGAGCAAGGGAAAAAACATCTAACATGTTTCGTATCTGGAAGCCTTTTTATCAGAAACTAGTAACTACTGCATTTACACTGTATTAAAAGGCTGGGATGGGGGAGGATTCAATGTAATAATATTTATAACTGACATTTAAAAAATCCCTGCTGTCTTTTTTTAATGCAAATGCACAACATTTAAGTGCTAGACACTATAAATGTACATTAATGTTTTTAGATATACCATTATGTCTCCTAATGGATAAGCATTAATATTGAATTTAACAGAATTTAAAAATACAAATAGTTTAATGTTATATTAATGCATCACCTCCAAAACTTCTTACCACTGAATCTATCTTTAGTTCTTGACTTTAGGTAACACTACAGTCCCTTTCCATATACAGGACTTACTCTCATGAACATACATACTACACCATAAACAGCCCCATCCATACACACACACAAGGCCATAAAAGCGTCCCTCATACATACACAACCCTACCAGCAACCTCCCCCAACTCACACAACACCAGAATCATCTTCCCCAGCTTCCAGTAAGTTATAGGGCTCAATTTAAAATTCTGGTTCTTGCTTTCAAATCTCTACATGCTGCTCCCATCTATCTATCCTCCCTAATACACAAGTATGTCCCGTCTAGGCCCTTACGCTCTGCTGAAGACTTACGTCTATCT